AGAGACATTCCATGGATAAAATTCATGGACTTGTAGGTAACACTTTGTTTAGAGCTTCTACAATGGAAGATTGGTATTTTGATAGTGGTTGCTCTAGACACGTGATGGTGTCAAGAATTTTTGTGTGAATATTAAGCCATTTCCCTCTAGTTATGTCACTTTTGGAGATGGGTCAAAAGATGAAATAAAAGGTTCTGGTAGGATGAACTCCACTAATTTACTAGATCTTAATAAAGTGCTTTTTGTTAAGGGGCTGACTGCTAATCTGATAAGCATTAGTTAACTATGTGATCAAGGATTCAAAGTTAATTTCATTATTTCTGAATGTTTAGTAACTAGCGAGAAGAATGAAGTGATCATGAAGGGAGTCAGATCAAGAGATAATTTTTACTTATGGATTCCTCAAGAAACAAATTATCCTTCCACACATGCTTAATACAAAAAGAGGATAAGATGAAGTTGTTGCAAAAAAAACTTGACCAACTACTTCTAAAAGACGTGAAGAGAATCAAATCAAAGGAAGAAGCCAAAGGTATATTCAAACTAGTGGAAGGAAGGCCCTATGGTGAAGATCAAGATGGAAAGCAACTTAAAAAGATCTCTAAAAGGTTGCAGCATTAGATTGTTTCCAAAAGGGAAGAAACACTTTATATGGCATTAATAAAACCTGAGCAATTTGACAGTTTTGTTTGGAAGATGTATGGTGGCTTACCTGCTGAAAATTTATAGCAATTATATATGGGTATGAGTGACACACATTCTCTATCCTTCCTCCAGGGTGTTATGGTTACAGTCAACAAAGAGTGGACGAAGAATTTTTCTGAGGTGGTGACTAGTGGTGTTGGTAATGTCACTCTTAATGCTTGTGACAAACTCAAGGAGTGCAGAAGGCTGTTTGATAGGGGAAAGAGGTGGATGTTCATCTGAAGACAATCATGTCTGTTAAGTTTCTATAGCTATTGTGTGCCTCTTCTACTATTGCTGATGGAGGCTTGTGTGTGTGAAAGATGTCCTATCAAATGTTACGACATATTTTCTGATGTATGAACTTGAGAATTTCATATTGGTTTACTACTTCTTAACGTGTCTCTTGAAAGGAGAATGATAGATTAGAAGTGTGAAGAATACATCATCTACGAGTGATTCACCATGAAGTGTGATTGGTCTTCAATGTCTATTGAGGACTTGTGATTGAAACTCTCAGACTAATCTTGGGACATCATCTCAGCATCTTAAAGTTTCAGAAGCAAGGAAGAGCTCTTCGTGTGAAATCTATAGTCAGGACTGCTATTGGCAGAGAGATCATACTGGTGTTTGTTTCTTTATGGCTCCGTGTAAACCTGTAGCTTACTTTTGCAGTCAGGTATTGCAAAGCTCAACCGGGTATCATGAAGAGTGTGTGTTTACTCTGTCGTATAAAGCAAGCTTTGTTGAAAGGTGAAGATGTTATGTAGGCTCTAGCATAATTTTTCCTACCTCTAGGGTCATGAGAATAAGGGTGATTCTCTTGAGATAAAGAAGTTATATCTTATGTTAAAACATCTATGCAATTAAGACTTGGGAAGAGAGAATGGTGCACGAAGAACAAGGAGATCATACCTTCTTGAAAAATACGAGGACTGACTATGTCTTTTTTTTGGCTAAAAAGGGGGATAAGAGATTGTTGCTTTAGGTGTTTGATGAATATTGTTGCATGTTTCCTTGAGGTGTAACAATTAAAGGGGATAAACTGATTGTGTTTCCTTATGACTGATGACACGTGTTATGAACACAATGGTGAGTCTGCTCTTCTGAGTGAACATCGAGATTGTCCAAGAAATTTCTATTTCTATGGTCATTATATATTAAGTATTTATTCCAAGTTTGAGGGGGAGTAGCTTGGATGGTTCTGAAGATGCAGAAGAATGGAAACTGACTGGTGGTATGATGTTAAGGGGGAGATTCCTAAAACTCTCTTGTGCTCTTATGTCAGTTTGGTCTAATGTTGAGGGGGAGATTCCTAAAATTCTCTTGTTTTATTAGTAGTATTGGAAGAAGAGATTCTGATGGATCTTTCTTGAAGAATTGTCAGACAAGATGTTTTGACATGTTGAGAATTTGTTATTCTATAGATTAATGAATTCCTATGGTTGGCATTATGTTTGGAAAAATGAACTTAGTAGAAACATTTTAAATGAAGATGTTCTATTAATTGGCGCAATATGTCTAATAAGATGTTTCAACCAGAAGTATATGACACAGTGTTTTTGTACAACTGGAATGGTAGTTATTTTTAGTTGTTACAGGTGCAGAATGTTATGGATATATTTTGTTATCCCATGTGACGCGCAAGATGAAGATTGAAAAAGATTCTAGCTGGATACAAGGAATATTATTAGATTCTAAAATTAAGAGAAAATCTAGGAAACTAATTATTGAAGCCCTAATGTGTGTAAAAGATTCTGCTGAGATTTAGCAGCTGATTTGCTGCGTTTGAAAAGCCCAATCCAATCCAGAGGATGGATTTAAATAAAATGTCACTAACCTAGTTTAATGTGGAACTTACTTTGTATTTTTTATTAGGGGATGTGTGATTATTGTGAGCCTCTCGATTATCATGTTGATAAAAGAGTAGGATTGTCTTATTGAGTTGTAAGTTTTATCAATCATTCCAAAGCTTTGAAGCAGTGAATGATTGTGTGTCTTTGAAGTGCGACTTCAGTGTTTGTTCTAAGTGTTTAGAATTGGTCAATCATTGAGACTATGATTGAAATTGATTTGAGAAGGTTCTGATACTTATGTGAGTCTTAGGTAGAAGTTAAGAACTGGTAGTGATTAAGAGAGTAGATTGTAAACTAGGTGAAAGTTTGTTGTGTGTCTACGAAAGGATATTATCAAGTTAACTTGATCCCTAGCTTGTAATCCCCCAGAGTAGGTGCGTGTACACCGAACTGGGTTAAAAACTTCTTGTGTTCTTTACTTTTCTACATTGTGTTTATCGTTCATATTGTTCATCATGTGCAAGTTCAGTAAAAGGTGTCTCGGCATCTTTTAGGACATCTTTGATTTGAATACCAGAATTTCAATTATCATTATCAGAAACATAACCAATTCACCTTTTTTCTATTATGACTAACACCATAAAAACTTGTATCTAAGTTTTTTTCATTTATAAATATTCTAATGTTGTCTATGCAAATATTGCTTAGAGTCATGAATAAAAATAATTTAAATATTTAATTCTAAAAAATAATAAAAGTGTATGCATCATGTTATAGGGTGTTTCCCTTTCTTTGTTCGTTTGAGGGACGGAACCAAGTAGATCGTCTTGCTTGTAATTAATTTTTTGAATTAATCATATTTTGAATTGTTCAAAAAAGAAAGTGTATGCATATAAGTCACGGCTTGAGCTATTTTTTTATAGATAGTTAATAAAAATAAATATAACCGAACCCGAACTTCTATGATAACAATATATATATATATATATATATATATATATATATATATATATATATATATATATATATATATATATATATATATATATATATATATATATATATATATATATATATATATTGTTATCATCAAAACTTAGAGATTAAATGCAGAACCAAAGCTTGTTCTAACAATTTGAAGATGATATGATCTAAGATTATAAGTCAATCTCTCATGTAAAAGTCCTTGAGAATCAATGTTGACCACACTTTGACATTGATTAGATGAAACCCTAGTCGAGGGAAATTGTTAGATCCACTTGGTTCACACTTATCCTTGCAAAACAAACCAAAAGAAAGCAAGACATATTTTAGTATTTTGATTAGTAGTTAATAAGACTTAAGGCATATATGTACAAAATATAAAAATAGGTGCTTGGTGATCTCAGAAAGGAAATCTAAAAGAGGAGAGGGAAAGAAAAGGTTTAAGAGGCAACCACAATGTTGTGACCTTAGATGAATTGCAAAGATGCAAAATAATGAGGAATCTTATAGATAAAAATTAGTGTATAACAGAGGCGTATTATGGATGCTTTCCTCAATGTAAAGTAAACTCTCATCTATCACTTACGAATTCGGCTATCGAACGATGTTTTATGTTTTAAGGATATTTTTCTCTCTCAAGAGACCACTGTTGTGGAAAATATACTAATTTAAGTGCTATAACATGTTAACACTAGCTTTGGTTCTGCATTTAATCTCTAAGTTTTGATGATAACAATATATATATATATATATATATATATATATATATATATATATATATATATATATATATATATATATATATATATATATATATATATATATATATATATATATATATATATATATATATATATATATATATATATATATATATATATATATATATATATATATATATATATATATATATATATCGGGTTCAGTTATATTTATTTTTATTAACTATCTATAAAAAAACAGCTCAAGCCGTGACTTATATGCATACACTTTCTTTTTTGAACAATTCAAAATATGATTAATTCAAAAAATTAATTACAAGCAAGACGATCTACTTGGTTCCGGCCCTCAAACGAACAAAGAAAGGGAAACACCCTATAACATGATGCATACACTTTTATTATTTTTTAGAATTAGATATTTAAATTATTTTTATTCATGACTCTAAGCAATATTTGCATAGACAACGTTAGAATATTTATAAATGAAAAAAACTTAGATACACGTTTTTAGGTGTAATTTTTATTTTTTGATAAAAATATGACAATTGTACTTAAATATTATTTATAGAGTAAAATTAGAAGAAAATTACATATGTATAGAGGAAATTATATATTTATCATACATTTTTATTAATAAATAATAGAAATTACACACAAAAAATTATATTTTTGTTTTATAATATTTCATTTTAGAAAAGTTTATATTCTTTTAATGTGCCATATATGATGAAATATTAAGTAATTATATAAAAGAGTGACATTTTATTTTGAAAACAAATAACTTTATTGATCAACAAAAATTGTTGACATGGTTTCACATTAATTGGGCCTGAGGCCCATCAATATTTTGCTTTAAGCCTAGATCCGCAGAGGATCTGGCCGTATTGTGCGCCTTAACATTATCCTCTCTCCAAAGATGTTGAAACGACAGCTGGTGGAAAAGCTTATGTTTCCCAAGGATGTGATGACACATCGTGTTGATGTTCGAGCTAATCTCCTGCATGGGATTGTTGTTGAGTAATTCCACTAGGGTTTTGTTGTCTGAGACCATAATGACCCTACTGAAGCCACACTGCACCGCATACACCATCACTTTAGCTACTAACGGGTCATCTTCCCACTTAGACTCCAACCAATCTCTTCCAATTGCTCTGATTGTCTTTTGGTATGTTGTTGTAGGTATTGTCTTTTTGGTTTTTTCTGGGATTTTTAACTCTAGTCTTCTCGTAGGTGGTAGCCGTCTTAGACTTCATGGGGTTCAAGGGGGTCATACCATATATGTTGAACCCAATCACAGTTTTTAAAACAATGGTTAGAATTCTCCATAGTAGTAGGACATCTAGGACAAAGGGGGTTGCAAGGTATCCCTCTCTTATTGAGATTCTCTTTACTAGGGATCAAAGTTTGTTGTCTGGGTGTAACTTTGTTGTTCCAAACCTTTTTCTAGATCTCTTTCTCACTATTATTGCTCATACTAGCTATATTTTGATTTGTCCTCCATTCCATAATGTTGTGATATCCTGGCCTAACACTATAGTTTCCTTCCTTTGTAGCATTCCAACATAGGTAATCCTTCTCCTCTAGATTGTATAAAGGAAGTTGAAGGGTGTCATCAATATCACTTTTGTTAAAATGATTGTTGATGATATCTTTCTTCCATTTCCCTGTATCTTTATCAATGAGCAGGTCCACCATATCCACTCGGCTCCCACTAGGTTTATTAGAGAGGATTTTAAGACTTCTATGGTTAGGGATTCAATTATGTTACTAGATGTTGATAAAGGTTCCTTTACCAATATTCTAGTAGCTTCTTTGCTTGATGATCCAAATACTAGTATAAAGGCTTCTCCATAAGTAACTAGGATTGTTCCCTCGCTTAGCATCCAAGATATCTTATTTAGGATAATACTCTTCTTTGAGAATGCTAGCCACCAAGGAATGAGGGGAAGTATAGAGCCTCCTAACTTGTTTGGCCAACATGGATTGATTGAATTATTCCAGCTTTCTAAAACCTAATCCCCTATCTTTATTAGGGATAAAAAGATCATCCCTTTTCTTCAAATGAATCTTTTCCTGTCCCATCAGAACTGAGCTAGTAATCTTTAAATTCATTTACAAATCCCTTTAGGAAGAAGAAAAGATCTCATGAGATGGGTAGGAATAGTCTGGGCCTACGAGGGTAGCTCTGCCAGAAAAAGAAAAAGTTTTCTCTTTCCAAGTCTTGAGTTTATCTCTAACTCTATCAACAATGTAGCAAAAACTTTGAGTCCTTGATCAGTTGATCTGAGTAGGGAGCCCTAGATAATTTTAGATAGATTTGACTATAGGAATCTTGATAATATTATGAAACTTGTCTTTGACCTCCTGATTAGTTCTGAAGCTAAACTGCATCTCAGATTTATTATAGTTGACTTGTTATCCAAAGCTATTTTGATAGTCTTGAAATTTTTTGCTAAGGTTAGTGGCTTCTTTGATTGTAGCTTGACAGAAAAGCAGGTTGTCATCTGCAAATAGAAGACGAGTGATATTAGGGGCATTTTTATAAATTTTAATTCCAGTTATAAGTTTGCTAGATTGAGCATGTTTCATAAGAGCAGAAAACATATCAGCACAAATAATAAAGAGATAATGAGAAAGGGGATCCCCTGTCGGATTCTCCTTGTAGGAAGGATATTACCAATAGGATTTCCATTAATGAGGACATCAAATTTAGTAGTAGTGATACAATTCATGATGTTGGATATGAAAACAGTAGGAAAATCCAGGTTTTGGAGATCTTCTCTTATAAAATTACACTTCGGTCTGTCACAGGCTTTCTCAATGTCAATCTTGATTCCAACAAAACCATGATTAAGATTGTTTTGTCTATTATGTTTGTGGAAAGCCTCATGGGCCACCATAGTGTTATCAGAGATCACTCTCTTAGCCATAACAGGTTATTGCTGATAAGATAAAGGCAGAATAGGTTTAAGTCTGTTAGCCAGAACTTCAGTAATGATTTTCACCAGGACATTACACAGAGCTATATGTCTATATTCTTTAATATGGGAGAGATTTTTTGTTTTAGGTATGATTTTTATGTAAGTATTGTTGTAGGTATCAGGGTTGTAGAAGTATTATCTTTGCCCATAATATTCTAATAGGTCGGGTAGAAAACGGCTTGAATGCCATCAGGACCAGGAGAATGACATATTTTATATTGTTTACGATGAAAAGAATTAATATATTTTAAATTTGGTTTGTAATTATAATTATATATTTTATAAAAGTTTTTATATATTTTCAAAGTGGCATATTTTGAAAAGGGTTGGAATGCCATCAGGATCAGGAGAGTGGCATATTTAAAATTTTTTTATATTTTGAATTTGGTTTGTAATTATAATTATATATTTTATAAAACAAAATCATGATTCTTTTAATTATAATAAATAGATTAAGTCTTAGCCACCACTAAAAGATCCACTTTTGCTCATAGGGTACCCTGCCGTGCAAGTAATCTAGAAGAATTGTACATCTCTCTATGGGGTCGGCCGATGTCCACTCTGTCTCTGATTGATCCGAAAAAAAAAATAATCTATGAAATTTTATAATTATATCATAAAGCTAAAGGGAAAAGGAAAACGAAAACAATATTTAAAAATATAATATTACATTATAATTTTTTTTTTGCATTGAAGTGAAACAAGAGAATTATTTAAGATTCAATGGCTTATTATTCTGTACGAGGTTGTCTTTTTTAGGTAAATAAATAAAAGATTAGTGCCATTGAAATCTCGTAACCTATTGTATTTATAATCTTTGTTTTCAATCAAATTGGGTGAGCAGCTTTGCAGCTAACTTTTACCTTAAAAAAACAAAAAATAATGTTATTATAATGCATTACAATAATTTGCATTTCAATTACTTTAATACTTATCATAATAAACAAATTAAAAAATAATTGAAAGGTAAAATGTTTACGGTAACATTTCTCATAATAAAATTAATTTGAGACACACTAATTCACTCATACATTTAAAATAAAATAAAAATAAAAATTTCAAATTTGTAGTGACACATTAGAATCAAAATTAGAATCAAAATATATGTTGAAATATGATCTTACCGGACCAGACTTGGACCGTCACGACTGGCTCAGGCGGAATTTGAGTGAGATGGGGAGGGGGGTACCGGCAAAACACTCTGATGCTAAAGTGAGAGACGGAATGAGCAGACAAAAAGTGTATAGATGCGTAAGAGATGAATACCTGACCCTCTGGAAACAAATGGTATTTATAGCCCCCAGCGCTGGACCAAGGTCCCCTCACTGGACTGACCAGAACTGTCTCAATAAAGGAACTGCCATGTTCTACGTGTGTAGTGGGGCCCCGCACGTGGTCCCCTTCTTGGTGGTGCTCTGCGAAGAATAAGGAGGGACGAAGACGCGGTCTTTCCGGAGTTTAGAGGACTTGATAACGGTCAGAATGGACAGAGTCTTCCCTACGGGGAGAGTGCTCGAGCAGGACTCGAGTTGGAGTTCCCTTGGTCGGGGACAATATATGTCGCGGGCAATGGCGGCATCGTGGCTACAGTCTGTGGTCGGGCACGTCGGCGGTGATTCGCGAGTGCGCATTTCTCGAGGAGTCTGCTTGGATTGGGCCTTTATCTGCGCTTTGGACCAGGGTGGGCCCAGTCCAGAACAGGAGCCCCCCAAGTCGTTGCTCCTGGGGCAGGAGTTATGACTTGACTTCAGCTCGCCTCTACCACGGGGATCTGATGCCCGGACCAAGATTTTGCTTTTTGATGCGTACTCGAGGAGTTCCTCGCAGGCTGCGTTCGTAGCGTAATCCTCATCGACGCGTGCTCGGGGAATTCCTCGCGGGCTGTGTTTGTTGGGCACACGAGACAGTCCTTGGGAATCGTGACGCCACCCTAACGATAATAGGATCATCATTGCCTAGGGAAATAGATGTCGAGGAGGGGAAGTTCGTGGCTCCCCGGGGCGACGTTTCGTATTCCACGTCATCCCTATAAATAGGATCCTTGGGTCCCATAATTTGTTTTTCTTCTTCGCGTTTCTCCTTCTTCCTCTGCTTCCGCCGCCGTTGTTTTCTGCAACACCGTGAGATTACCGCACCATCCTCCGTTGACTACTCTCATCGCTACCGTACATTCTTCTTTTCTTCCAAGTAAGTGTTGATTCCTCTTGTTTCTCTTCGTTGTAGGTAGTTTTGGTGTTATTTGGATGTTAAAAACTCGTATTTAGGAGTAGTGCCCGATAAATTCATGATTGTGCTCGGTAAATCCATAGTTTTAGGTACGTGACTCGCAATGCTGCCCGTGACCTTCATAGTTTTAGGCGCATAACCTATGATATTGCCCGTGACATTCGTAGTTCCAGGAATATGATCTATGATATTTCCCGTCACATTCATAGTTTCGGTCGGCGCACCCATGGTTGGCCGGGATGTTGACCCTGTAGGACAACTCGCCGTGGCATCTTAGTTTCGGGCAAGAGTGTTCATCTATGTTTATCGCCCGGGGTGCTCATATTATTCTTTTGTTGTTCCTGACGCCTGGTCGAGCTGGGGTGTCCGTGTTCGGCTTGTCGTGCGCTACTTCCCGTCACTGTGGCGAGCATGCGGATTTGCTCTCGAATTTCACCAGTTTCCTGTGCTTTGCAGGTAAATGGCCGACGAACCGGAATCTTCGAGGCAAAATGAAGTCGAGGACCAAAGTACCGAAGAGAACGTGACTTTAGTTGATATCGTCGATGACCCCTCGTTGGATTGGGTGGGCGCCGAGCCCTGAGGGATTGCCTCGGCGTACTGTCGCCGTAGTCGGCGCGCATATACTGTCGTCGAACACGGCGGTAGTCAGCCAGGTTTCCAGAAGAATTTTGTTGTGACGAGGTCGTCCGTCGATGCACAAATCTGCTTGGAGTTTACCGAGTATGGATTTCCAATGTACGAGATCGTGTTTAGGGATCTCGGTCTTAATCTCCCTTTCAGTGATTTCCAAACTGGGGTGTTCTGCCATCTGAACTTGGCCCCTTCGCAGCTTCATCCTAATTCGATCGCCTTCCTTCGGGCATTCGAGCTGACATGTCGTTTCTTGAGGATCGGGGCGACCATTCCCCTTTTCTTCAGGGTGTTTCACCTGTAACGTCAGTCTCGAGGAGGCAGGCATAGCTGGGTTTCCCTGAAACAGTCGAAGAGGTTGTTCAGGATGTACATGGATTTGGTCCGGGGCTTCAAGTACAAGTGGTACGTCCTGCAGCCGGTCACCCAGACTGCCTTGGATTCCATGTACGAAGCGGAGACTGCGGTAGTCGACGAGGACGGGGAGCCCCTCATGGACGCTGAGGGTAGTCCGGCAGTGGGGCGCGTATCTAAGTTCCCGTTACATTGGTGCTCGGGCCATTACGAGCATGGCACCGGGTATTATCATACACCCGCGGGAAGCATGAGCCCCGAGGATGAAGAAGCCTATGGTATCCTTTGCATGTATGTCGACAGCTTCTTCCCTGCCCGGTGGGTTACGAGGGATGGGGAAGATATTCTTGACGAGGATGGGTACCCGACATTCGAGGCCCGTCCCATCGACACCAAAGCGCTCGTCGAGTGCCAATCTTACGGGCAGGCCGTAGATTTACTAGGTTTCTTGCTTTTGCTTTGTTGTTTTATTCCATTTTTGTTTTTGCTTGCTCGCAACTAACTCGAGTTTTGCTCTTCTCTGCAGGCGACATGGCCGAACTAAGGGAAAGGCTTTTGAAACTGACCCAGGACAAGAAAGTAAACAAAAGGCTGGTACGAGCTCCGCAAGCCACGAGGATGGGCCCGCCGCCCAGTTCAGGCGATGCCTCTAGTGAGTCCCCGGGCTCCCCTGATGCTGAGCACCGCACTGAGCTGATTATGAGGAAGAGAAGTCGGGCAGATAATAGGTCAGAGGTTAGCGACGAGTCTGCGGCTGTGAGGGCCTTCGGTTTACCCCCCTGTTTCAAAGAGAAAGATTTCTTCGAGGGGTTTCCTCTGATGGTGAGCAGCGATGAGGCCGAGACTATCAGGCGGCTCAACAAAGAGAGCTGGAGGAAACACCTGGCCGCCAGTATGGTCGGGATGGTGAAGATGGCCGAGATGGCCGTTGTCCTTGCCGAGGATGGGTCGGACTCCTCGGATCGCGTCAGGGAGTTGGAGTCGGAGAAAGATGCCCTCGCTGCCAGTTCGCGTAAGTTAAAGGCTGCCCTCGAGCGATCCGAGGAAATGTTTCGCGAACAAGCCGACCTGTTGGCGGGGGAGAAGGAAAACTCCGGGAAGATCGTTGAGGAGAGGGATTGCTTTCGACTGGACAAGGAATGCTTGGAGGCCGACAACGAACGTTTGTCTAAGAAGGTCGAGGAGCTGAAATCTCCTATGCTTCCTGCTGAAGATGAGTCGGAGGAGACAGCCCCCCTGCGGACCCGTTCGGATCTGGTCGCGCGCATCCACCTCCTCGAGACGGACTGTGTCGACGCTTTAGCGGATGGTTTCGAGGCCGCGGTCAGCCAGCTCGTCATACTGAATCCGAGCATGAATACCGAGGGAGTGGGTTTCATGTCCCAGATTATTGACATCCAGGTCGTGCCTCCTCCCGAGTCTCTTGTGGTGGATGCTGGTAGTCCCGGGAATGTTTAGCGTGGAAATTCTGGTCGGGTCTGCGTGCCCGCTTGTTTGTATTTGTTTTGGGGCTTGCGTGCCCGTACTCATTTTTGGGGCCTGCGTGCCCGTGCTTATAACCCCGAACATCGCCGACCTTTTTGGTCGGTTCATTTTTATTCATTTTGTGTATGAACTTTTCAATGGATGTTTAACTTTAAACTTGCTCGTTCTAAGTTTTTATATTGTGACGAAATTTGTCTAAGTTATGTCCTCGAGCCATGCTTGTATTCGGCTGTTACTTTGTGGCGAAATTT